TGAATGTGTATAATGTCTTCTTAATATTGATGAAACTGGGATGTTAAAGTGCATGTTGTAACAATTTGTTTTTCCCTTAAGGCCTTGTTCGCTTTCTCCGGAATGGGCCGTTTCCGGCCGGAATTATTCCGGTTGTTATACAAATTGCACGTGCATTCTTGACCGGATTGGTTCGGGGTCTCCATTCCGAGATAACCGAACATGGCCTAAATGGATTGATTTTTATCAGTTAGTTGATGTTCTTAATTATCATATATGCCATGTTCAGTGCACACTTGGATGTATTCTATGGTTGTATGGTGCCTAAAAAATATCCTAGAATGCCTGCAAATGAACAGGGCATAGAAGGATATGATCCTTGATTTCCCGAGTGTAATTGTTATATAACATTTGCACGTGCTTTCCCGAGTGCTATTGTGCCCAAAGCACACGGAATAAGCTGCCATTAGTGTAATCAAGCTGCTGTCACAGTCTAACCTCCCTAGTGCAACACGCTCTCCCGAGTGGATGGGCTGGGCACATGGAACTCCAACTTTCCCTAGTGTGTACGAGTAACACACTCGGTGAAGCCCGCAGTTTCCCGACTAAATGCCTCCGACGGAGGAGTTCCGAGTCAGCGCTCGGAGATAGATTTACCGTGTGTTTTCAGCCTGTTTCCGAGTGTTATTTGGCACTAGGGGAACTCCACTAATCTGGTAGTGATCGGTCCACTGGAAGGGAACATGAGTAGATATATAGACCACATGACCCAGTACAGATTAGCAGAAGAGGAGGACCAAATGGCATTGGCAGTATAAAATGCAAGAACGCCAGGAAGATAGTAGGCAGCCATTGCAGCATGCTGAGTGATGAATTCCTCCGAGTAACGGCAAATGGGGCCCATGAAACTCTGAAGAAGGCGTAGTAGCAGCCCCAGTATGACCGTGACCATCACCTTGGTGTCCATGCTCACTGGGAGAATGACTACGAAGGAGACGACAGCAGACACCCAAACTAAGGTAGAAGGCACAAGTGCCGCCCACGGTGCCATCTTCTCTCCCTCCACCCCGTTAGATCGATCGGACAGTAATAACCTTCATGGAATGGAGAGATTAGTCTTGTTCTAACTAGGCCATGGTGAATCGGATCGGAAACAGAAGAATTTGTAAAATTAAACCAAATAGGTAGGCACAAAATTAAATGAAGCAGGCTATGGAACTAGCTCTCTCTCTCTCTCAGCTTTGTTGCTCTAGATCGTTGATGATGAAGAGAGACACTAGCTATTGGAAGCCAATAAAGAAGGTTCATATCATATTACAAACGCTTATTATCATATATCTTATATGCTCATATCATAATTATTCATCATATATCACATATGCTCTCAGCATTGATTCTCATAATAATAACATTATTTTGTGTTTGTTAATTATTTAATGGAATCTGGGAGGTGGTTGGTTATAAGGTAGAGGTAGTGGAGTATGATGTTGGTGGAAAGGTGGAAGGGGAGATGGTTTTGGGATGGTAGATATATGTGGAGGGGAAAATGGGTAGGTGGGGGTTAGGACTTGCCTCTGCTTGCTGGCGAGTATAACCTTACTCTAAGACTTTGATTCCCATACTTCTTGCTCCTATGTCTTGTACTTCTGGATCCCATCATCCTCGATCTATCTACGTTGTCTAGCGTTGGCAAACAAAGAGCATTTCAAGTAACACATACAAAGCAATCACAATCATTCAAGGGCGTCGATCCTAGATGAGTTAATCCTACCGGGTTGATGGGTTGATTTATAAACCTATCATTACTATGTCAATTTGAAGTAAGGTTGAATGGAAAGGGATCCATCCAACAAGCTAGTTCCTACAGGCTAGGTTAGTGTGGTGCGGCTACCTGATGGAAAACCAGACCACATTATTAGGTTTCACTATTATGTGAACCTGAAAGAGAAATACTGATCAAGTCATCATAAAATGTCTGGTCTGACTCCTATAGGTCCACGAGGGTTGTTCGGTGGTACCAACTAAGTGGGTTCATGTATACGTATTGGTATACATGAGGCAGGCTTGGATAGTTAGGTACATGTATATATATTTATATACACATACATGAGCGTGTAGGGTTAGGATGGTGTAGGTTGTGGCCAGGGTTAGTGGCATATACACACATGCATATGTATATGCCTAAGATTAATTAAGATGGAAAAGTGAGATGTGGGGGTTAGTCATACATAGGCGTATACCCAGAGTATATGTGTCACGGGGTATATCCATGTATGTATACTTTTGTATGTGATAGTGTGAGGGTATATTCGAGTATGTATGTGTCATGTTGTACACACATATGCGAATATATGGTGATGGGTGCTAATACGGGTTAGTGTTAATAAATATAAGAAAGGAAAACAAACAAACTATAATTTAAATGGGCACCAAATAATAGAGGATATGAATAGATAGGGCTTGATTTTAGAAGATTTTTGGTGAAAGAAAGGGATTTGGATTTACGATGAAGGGGATATTGATTTTCCAAGATTTAATAGGAAATGGTATTTGGAATATATTTTGGGAATTATTTCTGGAAATTGTGGTAATGGAAATGGGATAGAAAAGGTTGGGTAGGTTCTTGGGTGTACCTAGTTTATTTATAAATTTTATGGGAATTTTTCTATACATGGAAAATGGATTTTCACTTCTATGTGTGCACTAGCTAGGTGTACCTAACGTTTTTCGTGTGGCTTAGAGATTGACGCGTGGGGCCAGTCAGACACCCAGGCTGACCAGCACTGCGCTGTATACCGATCTATGGACCAGCCCTCTCTGTCTCTGTGGTTCACATGCACCAGGTTCACCCAGAAATGGAGAAGGGGGATGGGGCACTGCCGTGTGCGCTCGCGCACTGCAGGCGTCCCCATCCGAGCGAGCGACAAGAGCGAAGCAGAGCAAAGAGGAAAGCGGAGTGGGTGAGAGAAAGAGAGGGGGAGAAGGTGAGAAAGGGAATAAGGGATAGGGAGAGAGAAGAAGCAGGGCTGCGCCGCTCGGCGGCGAGCTCCTTGGCTTCGGTGGCTAGCGTGCTCGACTCCCTCAATGATGCTCACGCACTGCTCTTCGGCCCCCTTTTATAGGCATGGCACAGCGGCGGCCATGGAGAAATATCTCCAGCGAATGGAGATTTTTGCCAGCAACCATGGCAGGGCAGACAGGCACAACTGTCAACTGGTTTTCCGGACCGGATGGGATCGCCGACGTTGGTCCTTATCCGCACTATACCCACAAGCTGATGCCCCTCGGGCCCAGGCCACCGGAACCCCCTAACTCAACCAAAAAGACTAGTCTGATAGGTGAGGGCTGTCCCCGCCTTATATGTCATGCTCCCCCATCATCAATTACCGATGTGGGACTAAACCTAATAATCTCCCCCATCACACATTGGACCCAACTCTTCCATCACATTACACCGTGCGATCTCCGAAAGATGTTTTACAGGCCCCGAGTCCAACGCTCCATATCACACATAACCCGTGTGACCTCTGAGACGTTAACGGGCTCCCCCGTCACCATGTGACCCCTGAGATTTCCCAGGTTTTTCGACCATGGGCTCCGATACCACTTGTTAGAGTGCGCAGCGAAATTTGGCCTAGCTCGCTATACCCACGAGCCGATGCCCCTCGGGCCCAGGTCCATCGAAGCCCACAACATACCTAGGCCTTGGCCCTAACTCAACCCAAAAGACTAGTCCGATAGGTGAGGGCTGGCTCCGCCTTATATGTCGTGCTTTCCTACTATCAATTGGAACTAAACCTAACACACACGCGTTTGACGAGAACTCACAGAGACGGTGGCGAGAAAAATATCATCGATGGCGTGCTCCACGTGCTCAGCACCGGCAGGTGCAGAGAGAGGAGAGCTTAGCCCGGAGGGCTTTTCAATTTAGGAAACGCCTTTCCTATCTCCCAGAAATAAACTAAGGTTTATTTGAATTGGTTCCAATTTGAATTTCAAGGAGATTTGAGGGGTGGTGGATTTGATAATTCAAGGGGAAAGGCCAAGGATGGTTTTCAAGAAAGGTTCAAGGAATTTGATGGGAAAGTGTTAAGGAAAAACGTTTGGTGCCAAAATAAATTCTAGGGAAGCAAACACACAAGCATTCAAACAATCATTTCAAACATAATGCATATGGTGTGTATTGATGCAAGGCTTTGGATATCATTTTTCTTAAATGGTTTTGTGGGAAATAAACTAATCATGTTTTTAATTTGTTGTAAAGTTTTTAAAAATTCAATTTTTAGTGGTTTTTATTATGATGCAAAACACGGGGTGTTACACAAAATGACTCCAAATTAAAAAAAAAATGAACTATAAAGTTGCGTAACTTTTCGATATCTACAACTTTTGTTTGTATTATTTCTTCATCTGAGATCCTTTCCTAACACTACACACTCGCTTATGACTATAGCATATGGACTCCTTTGGTATTAACCCTGTAAAATCTTTTGATGTACATTTGGACATCCAAATGATCTCAAAATCAAAAAAGTTTAAACTCTATAAAAAGTTTGTTATCATCGGACATCATACGGGAAAGTTACGAAGATTTTCATACACCCTATCACTGCTGGTTTAAGCCACGAAGCGGCAGTGACCCAATATCACTACCGGTTCAGATTGCTAAAGCCTGTAGTGATAACCCCAATATCACTGTCGGTTGGTCCTATCATAGTATCACTGCTGATTTTAGTCACAAACCGGCAGTGAAGCTCGGTTCTGTTGTAGTGTGTACCAATGGAAGAGAATCTGTTGTACTCTAGGTCTTTACTTTTAGTATTGGATTTTAATTAAAATACTTTACGAGTCATGTGAGATCTTTTTTCTTGATGAACCTCGTAATAAGCATGGTATGATTTCTCTCTTGTGAGGATGGATAAAGCTAGATGATATTTCCTCTTATCTAAAAAAAAAGTGGACAAGGGGCGAAAAAATGCAACATACGCATTAGTTAGTCAAGATGTAATAAGACAACCAATTTACGGCACAAACTGAGAATCATTCAAAAGAATGGTACAAAAGTGTGAGTGAATTACACACTAGCTCCCTAGAAGTTACTAGATGTAACAAAGTCTCAGGAAGAGAAGAAATAGGAACACGAATACTATTCCGTATGCAGGCACCATAGGTACCAACCACTCGTGCACCGCCGAGAGACGGGAAGCTTTTAGTCCGGCTGCGGCGGCGTGTAGATGAGCCATTATTCCTCTCGGAGTCGGAGATGGGCCGTCCGGCGGTGTTGGTGCCGCCACATGCGGCCTGACCTCCTGCTTCCCTTTGCCCTTGAACGAGGCCGGGCGTGGCGAAGATGACGGCGACTCCTCGGAAACAGAAGATGAGCCCGGGAACGGGTAGTTGAAACGTTGGTTGTCCTGATCCATGGCCTGGGGTGTTAAAATCTGCAAAAATAACAAATTATTTAGACTGGCATTACTTATATATCCCAAATAGAGAAATATACTAGCAGAGATGTGAGATGTTGGGTAACGAGCTGTTGACGGTCACCACCTACCATGGAGAGTGATTGTAATAACTTTTCCATCATTTCTAAAATTTTATTATGTACAGATGTTGGCACAACGACTACGATGCCTTGACCTAACTCTGCCGACTACAGAATAAATTATTCTATAGCCATCTCTAATTACGATAGTTTTATATACTAATTTACGATAAAGTGAATACATATTTACGATAGTTGTGTTACTGTAACACATGAGGATATTTACCGTAACGTTATAGTAAATCACGTATAATCTCGTAAATTAGCATAATATTTGTCGTAACTCAAAGTGACTACAGAATATGATATTTACATACATATAGATAAACCAGCATAATTAAGCATTTTTAGCTACAGTTTATTTACATTGAACAAAATATAAACCACCATCACTTAGCAGTTGGATGCCGATGAGTTATTTGAACAACAGATGATTCATGTTGGAGGTTTTTCGTCTCTTCATTCACTTTGCATATTCATGTAATTTTATTGCAAAATAACTTGTTATATTACCGGTGATATCGACATGGGCGGCTTGTTTTCCTTCAATTCTGGCACCCGAATGATGTCGGCATGGCAAATCTTTTTGCGCAGACGACTGATCAGGCTGACCACGTCAATGGAAAAGCCAACCACCTCTAGCCGATCCTTGCCGTCACCGGTGATGCTCGTCGAGCACACCCCTGCACAGAACAAAGCAGCCACATTGGGCCATTGTAAAGCGACCAGATCAGGAGAAAGTGTATGGTAGAGTTATTAGTAGAGTACATAATACATACCATCCATTTTGGAAGTTAACATCATGGCTTTGGACCTGCTTCTGCTGGACGTTATGCTCAACCTGATCACGATCTTTTGCTGCATCAGAAGGGAGAAAGGCGGTCAGGTGCATCATCAATCGATCCATTTTCTCAACATGTACTATTAAAATAGTGGAGTTCACCTAGTGTTTTTAAGTAGTAATAAAACACTGTCACTATATGGGAATCCTCACCAGGAGGCATTTAGTAGGGAAAGTTTATACTCCTTCCATCCTAAATTATAAGATAATCGAAGAATCTTGGAGAGTCAAAACACCTCAAGTTTGACAGAAATTGTAGAAAAAATTATAAATTTATGATATCAAATATGTATATTATAAAAATATAATTGATGAAGAATCTAATAATACTTAGTTGACATCATAAATATTATTACATTATCATATAAGTTTGGTCAAACTTGAGATGCTTTGACTCTCTAAGATTCTTGGAATGCCTTATAATTTAGGACGGATGGAGTACTAAATTTTAAATCCTAAAACAATAGGAGAACTCTACTTCACTGCGACAAAAGGTGGATATTCTGATTGTGATGGCTTTACTGGAGCATCAGCACTCCTGGGACTAAAGATGGCAATGGGTACCCAACACCCGATGGGTTTTTACCTCATTAGGACATGGGTATGGATTAAAATCCTTACCCATGGGCATACTAATGGGCAAAAAGCCATGCCCATTGGGTATGCGGGTGTGGGCGTGGTATTATATCACCCAAACCCGCAAACCCATGGGTATATGTATATCCGTTTTGCATCTGAGATTTAGGCATATGTATCCCTAAATTTGTGATATGCATATGTTTACATCACTTATATATCTACAGATTTGTATATGTTCTTCAAACCCATGGGCATATGTTTTGCATATGTTTACATCTCTTATATATCTACAAATTTGTGATATGCTTATTTTCATGAAGTGACTAGGGATTGATAATACCATGCAATCTTACATATGTTTTCTCGGGTATGGGCAACCCATGGGTACCCGATACCCGCATGGGCATGGGTATGGGCATAGAGTTGTACCCATGCATGGGCATGGGTTTCTTAATGGGTACGATTTATCCTAATGGGCATGGGTGTGGTTGGGCAATACCCATCGGGTACAAACCCATTGCCATCTTTACCTGGGACTGCTTCCATGAGCGTCGATGCTGGCAAAAAGCGCATGTGTCTGATCCACGGTGGCATCAGAGATGATTAATGCCCCGTGCACCCCCTAAGCGACCTGCATGGCACATGTGTGCGTTGTACGGGCCCAACGGTACATGCACTACTAAAAAAATCTTTTGCGAGGCATTTTAAAATAGGCCTTGGAGATGGGCAGAAATTTCAACCACCTCGGTTAATGCCTGATATTAACCGAGACGATCATTTTTTATTAATCGAGGCGGTTACAACAACCGCCTCGCAAAATCGATTTACCGAGGCGGTTAAAAACCTAAAATCTATTAACGGAGGCCCGCCTCCAAAAATACCCCTATTTTTGGAGGCGGATCACTTATAAGGCTCGTCTTGGTTAATATTCTCAAAGCCTCGAAAAAGCCTATTATCTAGTCCAATATCGGGTTCATATACATACAGGGGAGTTAGGGTTTTCACTCACTCCCCAACCACATCTCGCCGCCCCCTCGCTCCACTCAGCCCGACGCCCCTCACGCAGGCCCAACACGGCGACGCCGCGCTCCTCCCCCATCCCGCTGCCCCTTCCACTCTCTCCCTCTCTCCACTCTCTCCCCCCACAGTGGTGGCACCCGCCCCTCTCTCTCCCCACGGCAGCAGCGCCCACCCCTCTCTCTCTCCCCAGGACGTGAAGGCTCTCTCCTCCCCCACACAGATGGCTGGCGCGCCTCCACTCCCTCCCCGGCCAGCGACGGTGGCCACGCTCCCTTGCCGGCGGCGTGGATCCGACGCGGAAGAGGTATGTCCTCATCCTCTCTCTCCTCTCTCCTCTCTTAGATCCAGGGAGGATCCGTACCTCACCTTCTCTCCCTCGCAGATGGAATCCATGTGGCTGGCGGCGTGGATCCGGCGGTGGCAGGCGGAGCGGACGCAGCCGAGGCTGGATTCGGTGGCTGGGATGACAGATCCGGCGGCGGGGAGGACGGATCCGGTAGCGGGGAGAATGCAGGCACTATGGGAAAACCGGCCTTTCCCGAGAGCCTAAATAGTTGCCGAGCGCAAAACAAAGGGCTCTCAGCAAAGAACTGATTTGCCGAGCGCACCTCTCGACAAAGTAAAACTACTGGGCAAGAGTTAACTTTGCGAGAGCACGACTCACAGCAAACAAAAATGCTCGGCAAACTTGTCCTTTGCCGAGAGCTGCGCTCTTAGCAAATAAGAACTCACGGCAAACATAACATTTGCCGAGAGCCGCCTCTCGGCAAAAGAAGTCCGCACATGACAATAGGCTTCCAGCGTTATTTTTAGGCTTACGGCGTTAATTATTTGCCGAGAGCCGCTCTCGACAAAGTTACCTATTTGCCGAGAGCCATGTATGGCTCTCGACAAAGGGTGCTTATTATTTCATGTGTTTCTCTTCTCCTCGCTTTTGTCCAAAAATATTATTATTTTTTTATTTTGGGCGCTCTAAACTTTTTTCTCTATACACATACTATAGGTTCTACTCAATATTAAAATTTTGTGTATTTTTGTAATTATTTGCTATATCTATTTAATTAATTGCATTTCAAGCGCTTTTTTTTAATCACGGGTAAAATTAAAATTTGAACGACGAGTGATTAAAAACACGGAAATAATTAAGTATAAATTGATATTCATGCTATTTATGCATTATTGAGGCCAAATAACATCTTGTTGATGTTTTTTCACCTTTTATTTTCTGAATCGAATACCACGAAAATGTCGCGAACGATTTAAAATTCTAAAAAAAACGGAAACGAAGTCGGAAAATTGTGATATTTGCAATAAAGTCATGGTACCACACTTGGAGGCCGTGGTAAAAATTTGAAAAAGTTTCGCACAAGCGGTGGCGTCTGATTCTTACAATCTGAAACATCTCCGAATATGTTTCATAGAGTTGAGAAGGATCCATTAGGATTTTCAAACAATGTCACACGTGAATTAGGTTTTCGACTTCCAAACTTTTTCTCTAGTCATTAGAAAGCATAAATTGTAACACGGCAAAATTTCGTAATTTTTGGGAGTCGTTTGCTATTTTTTAATTCTTTTTTACAAATTATTTGCCGAGAGCATATGGGTTTTGCTCTCGGCAAAGAACCTTTGCCGAGAGCTCTCTGGTTAGCTCTCGGCTCCGATTTCTTTTTTTACCTGGCCTGCATCAAGGGTTTGTCGAGCGCCCCTAGAAGCTCTCGGCAAAGAGTTATTTTTTTTAAAAAAATCATTTTGAAAAAAAATATTTAAAAAAACCTTTCTTTGCCGAGAGTGGCTCTCAGCAAAGATTTATTAGGTTTTGCCGAGAGCAGCTCTCGGCAAAGGATTAAAAATTTCCATTTATTTTGAAAAAAATCAAGGCGAGTAAAAAAGAATTTTTTTTCTTCTGCTGCAGATTATTTAAATAAGAAATAAGTATATTTTCAAAAAAAAAAAAAATGTTTGCCGAGTCTCGGATCGGCCTGGTGCTCAAGCAAAGATGGGATGTTTGCCGAGAGCCGTGATCCGGCTCTCGGCAAAGTGGGCCTCCAGTTATTTAAATTTTTTTTTCTGCTGCAATTATTTAAATAAGAAATAAATAATTTTTCAAAAAATGTTTGCCGAGAGCCGGATCGGCTGGCTCTCGACAAAGCGGGATGTTTGCCGAGAGCCGCCGTGATCGGCTCTCGGCAAAGTGGGCCTCAGTCTTATCCAACGCGCCCCGCGACACAAAGGCTATCCAACCGCTGCCCACCGCCCACCGCGCTCGCGCTCACTCGCTGCCGCCGCCAGCTTGCCCGTGGAGCTTCGCTTGCCGCCGCCGCCGTGCTGCTTCGCCGCCCGCCCGTCATGTTGTCCGGCCGCCCATGAAGCCCACCCGCCGTCCGGCCGCCCGTGAGAGCCTCGCCACCACCATTGGTGGCAGCGGCGGCCGCCCGCCCCGGCGGCGCTGCTGACCGCCTTACCGGCCGGCAGAAGAGCCTTTCCCGATCGCTTCCTGTGGTTGTGGCTGGCCGGTGGCCTTGCCGCCCGCACAGCAGCTCGCCGCCCAACCACAGCGCCCGCCGCCGACGATGTAGTAGCCCCTCCGCCACCACACACGCAACGCCTCCCTGCGATTCGCGCCCGGCAGCGCCGCCCCCCCACCCGCGTCCGCCGCCCGCTCCCTAACCGCATCCCCGGCCGCATGAGCCCGCCCCTTGGCCGGCGTCCGCCCGTCTCCGCTCTACGTGCCCGGCGCCCTAGGTATTGCAATCTTGTATTTCTTGGTAGTGGTAGTGGTAGTGGTAGTGGTGGGGTGGTGGTGGAGTGGTGGTGGATTGGTGGAGTGGTGGCGGTGGTGCTGGGGTGGTGGAGGTCATGGTGGTGGTGTTGGGGTGGTGTTGAAGTGGTGGTGGAGGTTTCGGCGGAGGTTTCGGCGGTGGTGTGCCGATGGCGTTTCGACGTTTGGGATTGTCGATTGTTGTTTATGTTGGAATTGTATATGTGCATGCCGGCCATCGTGCCGTTGAGATATATATGCTTGCCGGCCATCGTGTCGTTTGTTTCTTGCAGGTTTTGGAGACCTCACCCTGCAGGGGAGGTGCTGCCGAAATTTTGAATTGATGGTCTTGTGTCCTTTTGATTTTCAGAGAAGATCCCGTCGGAGGCTAGCCGGAGTACCTCGTCTTCCTTGACGTTGCGGGTCTGCCCGCACCGCGTCGCCTCGCCACTGCACCGACCCGCCACGGCCCCGCTAGCCTGACTTCACCGCCACCTAAGGTATAACCACTATTTCTTTGTCCTGGGCATGTATCTCCACGTAACCCAGTTAGGCGTCTCCCGTTCGAAAGAGATAGGGTTACAAATA